TTTTTCGCCAGGGCTAATTTGATATTCTCAGCTTTATTTACATTGTTACTCAAGAAGGTATAGAATCTCAATCAATCGTAGCTAACAAGGTAATATAGAAACGATGTGCTATACAAACAGCCATCACGAATTGATTGAAAATAAAGAGTATATAATTCTCGTTGCGAAGAACAAATAAAAAGAATGAGGAAAAATCGATTGATCGTATTGATTTTGAATACATGTACGCAACTCCGAAAACGACGAGAATCCGAGGCAATCGCACGAGTGAATGAGGCAAAAAGCTACGTAAATATAATGGGAGAAAAAATTTTCTCAATTCGTCAAAGCTAGACAAGCAAAGCAAGACGTACGTGTACACGCAGGCATACACATGACATCTTCTCAACTCTTCTCTCCCTTCGAAAGTTTATGCATGTACGTCTCGATCCACTCGACTTTTCCGTCTATAGAGCCGTCAAAAAGTGTCTATAAAGACGTATATATGCTTCCACACAGCCCGAGTTATACATATCGCTGGCGCACGCAGCATATATAAACGCCAAGATTTTCCCCAACAATAAGCCCCTTTTTACAGCGAGCTCTGAGATGCGTTATAAATGTGTTTGTGCGCGAGCATATACACACGCACACACGAAAACATTCAGAGAACGAGTCGCGTGTCCCCTTTCAACGCTCACAGCTCACTCGCTCGGGTATTTTTTTTTTTCGACCATTTGCTCCTTTCGTCGTCGTTTCGTCTCTATTCCTTATTGTCATCTCTTTCCCCGCGGAGAGTGGCTCGTGTATACTGTATACCCGTTGCGCACAGCTACTACTTTTACTTGCTGCGAGGCTTGCAATCGTACGTATCTCTCTGTAGTGTATTATTCTACGCATACTCGAGGAAAATCGCGCGCAAAAAGATGCGAATCTCGGTTGACAATGAAGCTGCAGGTTTTGCTCGCTCGCGCAAGCCTCCGACGTATTATACATATCGCGGTGCGTGTATAAGGCTGCGATTCGGCGTGGAGGGATGTCGTGAATGGCCCATGCTATTTATGCTCAACGCGCCGAGTCGTTGATCCTATAAATTCATCGCATTTCACCTCGAGTACACAGTATACACGGATGCAAAATAGACTTGATCCGTGCGCGTCGAGGCTGGCATCGGGGAATTTAAAATTCAAGAAAAACATTACGCTCGTGTCACATGCACGTTTTGTTCTGAAGTTAATTAACGAGGCAAGCCTCGCAATCACGATTAACTACAATGTAAAACTCGAGACTGGCTTATTTTTTCAATTTTTTCCATACACAGGTAATAAGCAGCTTGTTTTCATTGAAAGCTCGTGATGCATTAAGACGATACATTAGTATTGGTATGTCTTTGTGTCGGCTAATCGTTTGAATGCTTGTGTGTTGCCACAATACATATAATAAGCATAGCTCGCGTGACGCGTGGGTGAATCAGCACAAGGCGTGAAGCTGCTCGAGTCTTTCTCGGAGAATGAAAGGAAGCTGAAAATTTTGTTCCCAATCACGCCTATATTTAACACTTCGGGACAAGCATTTCGAATCGATTGCGCCCCTCTCTATACAGTTCTCTGTTGTCCATTCGCTATACTCGTTTCAAGTGTCTATCATGTTCGTTGTACGGCCAGCGGATGGCTCGATACCAACTTTACACGCTTATTTCTCACGCACAATGAGCGAAAAATGTTTCTTTCGACAGCTATATAAATATTTTACATTCATTAAGTTTATTAATCGACGAATAAATCTCAAATATGAATCGATTTAAATCGTACTTTGCACGCAGCACAAAAACATTTTACATGATGAAACACTTTCAAGTTGGTACGCAAGTCTATGCGTATGCGTGTGGCTTTTAAACTTGTGCAAGTCTGTACAAAACATTTCTATCGCGAATATAAGGAGCACGTGAAGCCTGTAGCAGAAAGGAAAAAGAACACGTAGGAATGGGCTGCGGCCATCGAAAGAGGGGAGAAGTAAATAAAAACAGAGTAAGTTACCTTATGGAGATCGGATCTCGGGGCTGGACTGTACTCACTTTCGGATTGGTTGGTTCACTCTCGTAGGGCGTGCGGAGATATACATTGTCCTTTTCAACTCACGCTCGATATGTGCACGCGTATGTGTATGTGTGTACGTATTTCACTGTATGTACGTTCGCATCCACTGTGCCAGTACGCCCGTACGTGTACGTTGCACACTAGGCAATTTATTTCGCTTGCGTAAATGTATATATGTAGTAACCCCTACGCTCGACACAACTCTTGTACGTGTGTGTGGGTATGTGTGTGCATGTATGGGCATGTGTGCATACTTGCGTGCGCATTGTAACGAGCTGAAAGCCCGTGCTTTTTGACATTTTTTCTATCGACAGTCAAGTTTCTTTTTCGAAATTGATTAAAAACTAGAGCTGAAGCCATTCTTATCGGTAGATTGAATTATAACGCTCGAGTGGTGCTTTAAAGTGTGACAAAACGAACTTTTCGCATTTATTTGCACGAGGAAATTGAAATTAGTTTAAAATTAAAAATATCGGAAAAAAGCAGGACAATAATGTTTGAGATTCTTCAATTTACTGCTGATTTTAAATTATACGCGCTGCAACTCAAGCCTTATTCCTAAATTAATAGGTATATCGCCTATATACGAGCGCGCACCCGAGCATCGATGCTTATTATAATGCATATTTTATTGCATGAGGGCTCAAAGGTGCCAACGTGTCAAGTAGAGGCTGAGTAGGCACTTTGTATCTCGTATTCAGCTCGATAAGAGAGGTAATATGCACACATACAGCTCTGAACCCTACTGCATATATATAAGCACACAAGTACATCGATGATATTAATTAAAAATGTAAATAATGTAGGGCTCGTTATAATACTATTATACAGTATATATGTATACAATTTTCAAGCGAAACGTAAAGTTATGAAAAAAAATAAGAATGATATTCGAGATGGAATGAGAGAAACGCGCTGAAATACAATAATTAGAATCGAAATTCTCGGGCTGCTGCCGACTGTTGCTGCTTATAATATATTTCGTTTATTTATCCAGGAGGTACATGTCATATGCTTATCACGTTTATATGCGCACGAGTTTCGTGAATGCTCATTAAATAAATGGATCAATTTCGATGATATCAATTAGATTCATGCATATAAAAGCAAATAATACACTTCAATACTGTTGTTGTTATATTCAACTTTTTAATTGAATTTTATTGAACGAAACTGGTTGATAAAATTATTTTTAATTATGTAATTGAAAGAACATTATTAAAGCATTTCCTTTTTTAATTAATTTGGAATTGACCAACAAATCATTGGAAAATGTCAGAGAATCTTTTTTCAATCATGATTATTCGTGGAATATTTTCACTATTTACTACATTTATTACTAAAACAAAAAAGTACGAACTATTTGTGAAAGCATTAGGATATTAAAACAAGGAGAAATATATATACGACTATAAAACAAATATATAATTATTACTGATTATTTTGCAAAAATCACAAGTTATCAAAGTATCTATTTTTCGTGTATCATTGCACACACTCTCATTTCATATTTTTGAACAAAGAGCTTTAAATTGAGTTTAACCTTCCAATTCTTTCAGTTAAAGAAACAAAAATATTCTTCAGAGAATTTCGAGAAAAAGAAAAACAGTTTGAAATTGTCCAAGCTCTTTTTGATGTAATGTATAATTTGAGTAAATTTTCTTCTATTTGAAAACTTTATGAGAAAATATTTCTCAGTCAATACAAATAGTTGCAAGTTTCTAAATTTTTCGTAAATATTTTAAAAATGTACGAATAAATTGTTCAAATGAGCGATTCCTCGTTTTCGTTTAAAAGTTCATGAAACGTAAAACATTCACGAGCAAACGGAGCCTGGAAAGCGTTAGTATAAAGCAGAACAAAAGAGCACGCAGTGAAATGGGGAAGCAGAAAATAATTGGTAGTATCCTGTATTTTTTTTATGATTGTACGAACGAAATTCTAATAAACTAACAAGTCACGCAGGCTAAAATTCGAAAATAATTTTGTTTACGCGAGAAATGTATATCGAGTTACCGATTAGCGTTCAGATTATTATTTGAATACGGAAGTACGGAAGTATTCTCTTACCTCCACTAAGTCTAGACTCGATCTTGCACGACGAAGGGAACGAAGTTTTTTCTAAAAGTAAGAGCTGTTAAGAAATTTGATCTATGATTTTGTGCACCGAGAAAGCATGTCAGCAACGCCTGTACTTTAAAATCGAGCAAGAAAAAATCATATTTATTTAGTGTAAACACGCGTGACAAACAGAATCCAAGACGGCGTCATCGTTGTTTTGCCGTCTACTTCATTAACCCCTCATCAGCATTTTTTATCACTTAGCGAGCTCTAAAATCATTGTCACGTTCATGACCGTCGGGTTCAGTCTTACGAGGCTTATATCATTGCTGCGAGGGGTCGTGTGCGAAAGCATCGAAAGCGAATTAATCATATACGCGCATGTATACAGTGTGCAAGGACGTTCTTGCGTTCGGGTGATAATTTTCAACCTGTCGTTGCGCGCTTCTAGCGACATCGGTCTTGGGGAAACGCAGCCGAGTGTCCAACGAGAAAGAGAGAGAGAGAGATACACATCTATGCACAAGTGCTTAATGACTTGGAAAAATCGAGAGCACGCACGGTCCGCTCTCCGCTCGTCCTGCACACGAATGCCAAATGAGGCTGGATTTCTCTGACTTTTCCCACCCTCTATATTCCATGTGACGTCAGCTTATTCGTATACGTTGCAGTTGCACCGACGAAGAGAGTCATTTTTCGATAGGAATTATACTCTAATACCCCCGCAAAAGTATAGAAACTTTTTTGTTCCCATCGTTCTTTTTCGAGGAAAAAATACGAGGAAGACAATTGTTTGTTTGTAATTGAGAAAGAGAGAGAGAAAGAGAGAGAGAGAGAGTTGATGATCGTAATTAGATTCCTTACCTGGGCTGGGGCTTGAAAATGTGCTTTTCGATTGTGAGTAGCCTGGAAATGAAAATAAAAAATACATGAAAATAAACAAAATTATGATTTAAATTCTCGAAATTACTTTCTTTTTTAACATTAACAGTACGCATTAAGCTCTACGTGCACGAAACTTTTCACGAAGCAATTAGAGATAAAATGATGAAAAATATGTTTACTGTAGCAAAACTCGCATACGTATGTAAGTGCCGTAGCCAGGCCTTAAAACCCGATTGCGCCCGCGCGCGTATGTGTGTATGCGTTAATTAAATGATTCTTCACTACAAGTGGAAGTTAGGAAATTAAATTTAACGAAGCACAAATCTAATGAATGAATTCACTACTGTTGAATTAAGCACACTTTGCAGTACGTTGCTTTATACGCCTCGAAGCCGTGAACGCGTAGTGCCTGAACTTTTCAATGAACATTTATTTATGTATCCACCAAGTAGCGATTTGAAGCTTCTTTTTTATGATTACTCAAATTGAGAAATTTCATGATCAGAGACTGCAAATATTGAATGTAAAATATGAAAGTGAATAAAAGTCACGATAATGTAATTCGATAAGTTGAGATTTGCAATCATCCAGTATTACAAGCTATAGTCGATAAATTTGTAGGGTACAAACACGTCGGCCATCTCATTAAGACATTTTCGAGCGCCAAGCCACTTTTTTAATGGAGCTTTGAGACACATGGAATTTCGAAGCTGAATCCGACGAGGGGCTCACGATTGCAAAGCAGTGTACAGGCAAAAAGCGAGGACTAAAAAAGAGATTTTCTCGTACAGAGAGTGCGCAAGCCTGACGCGGCTCGAGTAGCAGCAGCGGCAGCGGTGGTGGCAGTGCGCCAAATCTAAGAAGCAACGCCGCGTTCGGGCTTGCATTTTCAAGCATCTTTAACGGGTTGCAGGGGGGAAATCTTTTTATACAACTTTTTTACACTGGTCTTTTTCTCTCTTCTTTTCCTTCCAGCTTCCTTTTCTCGCTAGGCCAGTCTTATACGCTTGGTAGCTCATTTTAAACAGGTTAATTTCAATGACTTCTTTTCAACCATCGCAGTGTTTGTGTATACACAGGATATTCATCACTTATGTTGTTAGTATTCACGCGCCCAGTTGCTGTTGCTCCTGCACCCACCTAGCCCCTAAATGAATGGACTCAAATAGAAAATTAAAGCGTTGGCGAACTTTTACTGCTGACGAGTGGCTTTTGGCTATGCGCGCGTTGGAGTACATACAGCGCGCGTGTACGTATCATAAGGCGTTTAATTCTGAAACAGCTCATACGTAATTACAGCGTAATAGGGGTCATCGTGGCCTCAATATAAGCATTCTAGCATAGACCGAACCCCTATATCGCTATATTTTCATTTGAGTTGTTGCAGAATTAAACGTGACCCTAGTACACATACTAAAAAAAAAAAAAAAACACAAGGTAACTACTTTTATACATCTTTTATATTTTTAATGATGTAATAGCATAATGTTACAAGGGGAACATGATCCGGAAAAAAGATTCAGTTCAATTATTTCAATATTCTCTAGGCTTTCAGTTTCATGACATCAAAATTAATCATTTTTGGCTCTTGCTCAGAATAATATCATGGAATCAATTTCGGAGCTCATATCTTTTAATAAAAAAAAGTATACGATCGCCTCTATATATATTTTGACAATTTTCCGCACAATGGATTTTGTTGCGATTTCATGTAATTCAATACAAGGCAGTGGTGGCTTGAATGACCTCCCGCGGGGAGCAAAACTTTTTTTTCCAAATCTAGTTTCGTTTTCAGCATCTCTCTCGGTTTGATGTACACTTAAAAAAAAACTTAATAAATTGTTCATTTGGAGTTGGAGTTACGCGTGCCGAAAAATCGTTTATAGATTCTAAAGTATACTTTTGTCTTTTTCTATTGAATTATTTGGCAACCTTATTTCTATGAAAACTTTCTGCAAATGTAAGTTCGATAAGGCACGCCTATGTCAGCGTCTAAACGATTTAGTTTTTTTGTCAAAAGAAAAAAAACATCAATCAGAAAATAGCTTATAATCTCTAGATTCTTCTCAACTTATGTAGGTATAAGCATCAAAAAAAGGCGTGTTAGGGTGTGCATGCAACACTTAGAGGCAGCAGCCTGCTAGTTATATGCAGGCAACATCAGTGCGGGCGAGTTTCATGTAGTAGACGTTTACTTCCTAGATCTCGCATTACCACGCGCGATATTTTGACGGAGTCTTATTGTCACGGGTTTTATTGAGGCTATTATGTGGCTATTAGTGTTATAACAGGCTTTGCGGTTAGCAACTGAGCCCTGCTAAAAGTACATAGTTCGTGTCCGGCTATGCGCGTCCGCTCCTTCCCTCTCGATTTAACCTATATGTGTCGCATATGTACCAATTTTTTTTTTCTATCAATAGGTCCCTTGCACGTCAATTCAAGTTGCCTGTGGACGCAAACACGAAACTGGTCTTTTTTCGAACGACTGTTATACACTTATATATTTTTTGAACTGCGAAAGAAATTAAAGTAATCGGATGATGATTGCAGAAGGCTCAGGAGAGTCCGAGTCAGCTAAATACGCGGCTAATCCCGGATGAAAGACTGGATTTTGGGATAATTCTTCCGCTGATTTGCTTCAGTTGTTAAGAATGTTACTCTTGTTCAGAGATTTTTTCAGTCGTCTCAAAGTACTGGGATAGAACCAGACCATGTTAGAATGTAATTTAGCTAGTAATAGGTTTTCTTATCGTCAAAGTCGACTCTAAGTCCAGCTTGTAACGATTATAAGAAAATCGATGCATTGGAAAAAAAATTGAATGCCCACAATCGATCGTTCAAGTGTGAGTTTGCACCGAGCTCGGGGATCGAGGCTCGAGAGACACTGACAACAGGGTCGTGAAGGGCGCACGCGCGGCCACGCCGTTAAACGTACTATTTTGGCATTATAATGCCATCTCACTCACTCGCTCACTCTATGAGAGGAGGTGTCGTGCCCAAAGTATTTGAAGATTGCTCTTCTATGCGCTGTATAGCACACACATCTATGAACGCACATAGACCCTAGCCGATACTTTTTACATTATAGGTGAGAACGGATGCTTTGCTGCGGTTCGACATGCTGTACATGCTGTATAGCCGTCTATTCAATCGAAGAGTGAGAGCGTCTTGAGTGGCTACTAATCTCTCGGCCATACACGTTATATTGTGGATATTCCTCTCGAATATTGTTGTGCTCAACCTTTATTCGTCGCGTCGGGCGCTCGATGGCACTATGTACATGTGTCGTACTGTAGCCGGCTTTGCCCATTCATCGTCTAGGCGTCATCTGCCTGTTTTTTCCTTGAACAAATCAGATGGCGATTTCGTTTGCATGCTCATAATTAGCCATTATTAATTTGTCAATTGTCCATTTGGCGTTGACTTGTCTACGTGTCGACGCGTCGCACGCGTTCATGACGCCATTGTTGAGCTCAACGTGTCTAAATCCTCTAAAAGCATAGCTAACAGTATTAGGTCTTTTTTTGAAAATGAGTCATCGGCGATCAGGCGAAAAAAATGCCAAGGCCGAGACTTCGGCGGTAATATTCTTGAATTTAGTGATTCATCAAGAGCTCCTCTTAGACACCTAACGAAAGTCACAGGCTCTACGAGTGCGGCAAGTGCAGAAAAGTGATTTTCCGCCGAAACATAAGTATCTGTAAGTAAAGTAATGGTAATTAGCTCACCCCTTTTTCGTGTGCCCCCTAAGCCCGAGTAGCTATTTGCTTCTTCATTTCTCTCTTCGTCGTATCGGCTTTACTTTTTTGCTTTATCGCACGTTGCTCGAATCTTCTCTCCTACGCCACCTGCATCTCCAAATTAGCAAGTGCATCTTCATGTATAATATATGGGTACCAAAAATTTAACGAGACTGGGGAAAATTAGTGAGAAATATTCTACACACGAGCTACTGGTTGTTTGCAGTAACAGAACACAGACTCACATTTACGCACTCGCGACTGCAGCGCGTGTTAAAATTCGTACATATATAGTCCATGAGTGTATGTGTATGAGCAGAGAAAACATTGGGCGAGGTGTGAAATCTCGTACAGTCTCGTGTACATGAATCGAGTCGTCGTCGTCGTCGTTACCCCCTATGTTAATATTGTCGTCGTCGTCGTCGTCGTCGTCTGCAGTACGCCACGCCACTGCAGTGCAGCGCAAGTACTCTTCAGAATCCGATGCAGCAGTTTGCCTCGAGCGCGTTACAATCGAGGTGTTGGACTGGAAATCCATATATACCAATTTAAGTTTGTATGTTGCACTCGAGCATATGCAAGGCTGTGTATAGATGTGTGCGTGCCGAGTCTGAGCTCGCGTACGCCTGTGTGAGAACGATATGCCTAACTAACGTTTGTTCCATGCGATTCGATGCACAGAACGTGTATGCATGTATGCCGTATAGACGCGCACTTCAATTCTGACTTTGATTTTTGCGCGACTGTACACGCGTATGCACGGCGTTGAAGCCCGCTACGTTGATGTATGCAAACGGCCGTTTATCTCGCGAGACGTCTTTGAAAGCGCGTCGCGGGGGTTCGCACGCTTCACCTGGCATCTTCGTGTCGAGTCGTCGCCGCCGTGTCGAGGCTTTATGGATTCCGAACTGATTCCCAATCGATTGGCGGTTTTTCCTCTCGTTTTCTGGATTTTCAAATCTTTTGCTACTTCATCGAGTGTGACGCACCCACCACGTGAACGTAATGTACAATGTACACATACCAGCATGGCAGTGCTGCGCATTGATATTCAGAGTCATAAATACCAAGGGTTGGTTGAATATCAAAACTCGTACGTTTAGCTTTATCGATGACAGGATTGCTTGACGCTCATTCATACAAGAGGTGGCTTTGATGAAAAATCAATCGTGCCATAGATCATGCACGATTTCAATGAAAGGCAATATCTATCGTAATGTGCATTAATTCAAAGAATATAAAATAATCGATTATTTGGCATCCAAACCATAAAATGTTTTG